GGTGTGATTTCGGGGTTTTCCTTCCCCTAGACCGGTTGCCTGCCAAGGCTAACGAGCCCGCTCTGCCCGCGCTGTAGGGTCCTTTGGGCCTCACGAATGAGACCCTCCAGACCCTGGATAAAACCTGGAGGCAGCTGCCCATCCAGGAGTGTTATGGACACTCTTAGTCTGGCCCCTCTGTACAGACCACTCCGGCATGGTAGAACCTGCCAGGGGCCGAAGCCCCCGCCGGCACAGCTCTGTACATCATCGAGGCACGCAAGCCCCCCCACCACGTCAAGGTAGTGTCCACGGGGGGGATATATGCATATACCTGTCGTTCTGGTGAAATCCCACATGGCCGCAATCGTCGTAAACTAAGTCTTAAAGTATCTGCTAATTCCAATACAGTGTCCGGTAATAAACGAAATAAATTAGTAAACATATCGTTATGTAGTTCAAATGGATTGTTTATATCGCGCCAGGCTCTTCTCTCCTCTCAATGTCCTATCTGTCTTACTCTATTTTCTGTATTCAATAGGTCCCATTAAATATTCTTCGACCATACTAACAATTCACGTAATATATGTATAAGAATTAGATTTAAATTATTTATTTGTATTATTTATTTGTAGATTTGTCTATTATATAGCACATACAAAATATTTACATGAACAGAAAAATATTCACAAGTCAGAGCCGGAGTCCAGGGCTGCTAAATTCCCGTGTATACACAGTCTGTCCCAGATCCAATGAGACTAGTCTAAAAAAAAATACAAAGCGATTATTATTTTGATTTTTTATTCTTGTTTATTCAAAATAGTCTCCTTCTGAGTCAATACAGCGCTGGAAACGTTCAACAAATTTTTCGAAACATTTTTTATACTCATCGGCTGGAATGGCCTTTAGTATGGCGGTCGAAGTCTTTTGGATGACCGGGATGGTATCGAAACTATTTCCTTTCATCGCCAATTTCAAATTGGGAAATAGCCAGAAGTCGCACGGAGCCAAAGCAGGTGAATATGGTGAATGATCGATAACAATGATGCCCTTTTTGGTCAAGTATTCACGTATCATGAAAGCTTTGTGCGATGATGCATTATCGTGCAACAAAAAACCAACTGCCTGGCTCTCGATATTCCGGTCGAACCCGTCGATTTCTGGCCCTCAATCGTCGTAGAACTCCCAGATAATATTCTGCGTTCACCGTCTGACCTTCTGGGACGAATTCATTGTGAACAATTCCCTTTGAATCGAAGAAAACGGTCAGCATTGTCTTGATTTTGCTCTTCTGAAAGCGTAATTTTTTCTCTTTTGGCTCTTCTGGTGACTTCCATGCCGCACTTTGATGTTTTGTTTTTGGCTCGTATTGAAAACACCACGTTTCATCACCAGTTACAATGACTGACATGCTTGCCGGATTCCTTCGGGATATTTTTAACATGTCTTTGCAATGCTGAACTCTCCAATCTTTTTAGTCGTCTGTCAGAGTGTGTGGCACGAAGCGCGCACAGACCTTCCGTTTGCCCAAATCTTCGGTCAAAATTCGATAGACTGTGCTTTTCGGTATCCCAGTTTCTTCTTCGATGAGTCTCGCAGACACACAGCGGTCGCTTCGAAGAATTTCTTTGACTTTCTCAATGTTTTCTTCATTGGTTCATTCGAGTGATTTTTGGCGGCGGTACTTGGTCATCGTCTGCAAGGTCCTCACGACCGTTACGGAATCGGCCAAACCAACGGAAAACCTGTGTACGGGACATGCATTCATCCCTGTACACATTTTTTAGCGTTTCGTACGTTTCTGCACCACTTTTACCCAATTTAAAACAGAATTTAATATTCGCTCTTTGTTCCATGTTGGTTTTTCGACCGACGTACAAAGTGACTTTACATAAAATGTCAAACCACAGTGAAATATCAACCGAATTCGCTCAAATTTTGAGGTTAAGTAGATGAAGGGTAGAACATTCACCTATCATCATTCACTCATAGATGTCGCTGCGCTAAGAACTTTGATGGAACCAGTCTCATCGTATCTGGGACAAACTGTGTATTTAGCGTCCAACGTTTGTAGCGCTCTCTGAAATGGGACATTTCTTCGGTGGTACTAAAGTTCAATATGGCGTCATGTGTCAATGTGTGTGTATGTATAGCTGTCTATATACACATATTAACACATATGTGCGTGTAGTATACGAGGGCGGTCCGATAAATACTTAGCCTCACCGCTCGATGGTGCCACTATCGCAAGAGAAATTTATTATCGTGTAGTACATTCTCGTAGACGGCTACTGTCGAAATTTCAGCCGAATCGGACTCGTAGTTTTGTTTTGACCGCGTGTGGAAGCGGGCGTGCCCGCGGATTTTAGAAAAATGGAAAAAGAGCAATATCGGTCGGTGATTCGATTCTTGTTTTTGGAAGGGAATAGCGCAGCGAAATCAAAGAGCGCTTGGATGCTGTGTACGGTGACTCTTCTCCTTCAATGGCGACCGTCAAAAATTGGTTTAACGAATTTCAACGTGGTCGCACGTCGATTTTTGATGAGCCACGTCCAGGTGCCCCGAAAACGGCTAACACGGAGTATAACATGACAAAAATCCACGATCTCGTATTGGCAGACCGCCGATTGAAGGTGCGCGAGATAGCTGAGTCAGTAGGCATCTCAAAAGACCGCGTGAGTCATATCCTGCATGAAATTTTGGGCATGAGAAAGCTGTCGGCGCGATGGGTGCCGCGTTTGCTCACTCCGGACAACAAGCGCAACCGTGAGACCACTTCAGAGCAGTGTTTGACGCTGTTTAAGCGCAATCCGAAAGAGTTTCTGCGTCGTTTCGTGACCGTCGACGAAACATGGATCCACTGGTACACACCAGAGACCAAGGAACAGTCGAAACAGGGACTTCACCCGGCGAACGTGCTCCGAAGAAGGCGAAGACTGTCCTATCGGCCGGAAAGGTGATGGCCACCGTTTTCTGGGATTCACAAGGTGTGATCTACATCGACTACCTGGAGAAGGGCAAAACGGTCACAGGGCTGTACTATGCCGAATTATTGGGCCGATTCGACGCCGAATTGCAGAAAAAACGGCCCCATTTGGCGAAGAAAAAAGTGCTCTTCCACCATGACAACGCACCGGCTCACACCTCCGCCCTCGCCACGGTCAAATTGGTCAAATTGGGCTACGAACTGCTGCCCCATCCACCGTATTCTCCAGATTTGGCCCCATGCGACTTCTTTTTGTTTCCAAACTTGAAAAAGTGACTCGCCGGGCAGAAATTTGAATCGAATGAGGAGGTCATCGCCGCCACGGAGGCCTACTTTGCAGACCTCGAGAAAACGTATTTTTCAGACGGGTTAAAGAAGTTGGAGCATCGCTGGGTCAAGTGTATCGAGCTAAAAGGAAACTATGTTGAGAAATAAATCGCCACTTTTCCAAAATTTTCGTTTTTCTTTTGTAGGCTAAGTATTTATCGGACCACCCTCGTATATAGGAAATACGAGAAATATTAGTGCGAAGTAAAAATGCAGAAAATAATGTGTATTCTGTGAAATGTATTGGGTGAGTGCAAAAGTTCGTGCGGAGTTTCAATAAATGGAGTTATAAGCGTCGTAAAGTGTTGTCATTAATACTTCCATCTACATATTATATAACGTTGGAAAGGTGACGTCTTCAGCTGTTATTAAAAAAAAAATCATTTGTTTTCATACAAACTGCTTCGAGAAATATCACTTTAAAAATGAGTATCGATAAGGTGCATTTACGGCATGTTATGCTTTACGAGTTTCGGAAGGGAATAAACGTTGCCGCAGCCGTAAAAAACATTCAGGATGTTTATCAGGATGAAGCACCAGCTAAACGAACTGTGGAAAAATGGTTTGCTAAATTTCGGCGCGGAGAATTTAACCTTGAAGACGAGCCACGCTCTGGTCAACCTTCTGACATTGATGACGATGTTTTGCGTACTTTAGTGCTCAATAATCCGCGAATTTCAACAGAAGAAGTTGCTACAGCACTAAACGTTGACCGATCAACCGCTTTTCGGCGTTTAAAAAAGATGGGATTCGATTTGAAGCTCGATATATGGGTGCCCCATTTGCTGACCGAGAAGAACAAAATCAAGCGAATTTCTGCAGCCGTTTCTTTACTCGGGCGGCTCAATAACGAGTTGTTTTTGGATCGACTAGTGACGGGCGATGAGAAATGGGTCCTCTACAACAATGTTCAGCGCAAACGGACATGGAAACAATCAGGTGAGCATGGTGACGCAATGCCAAAGGCCAGTTTGCACCCGATGAAGGTGATGCTCTCTGTTTGGTGGGATTGCAAGGGCATAATCTATTTCGAGCTTCTCCCCGCTGGCGAAACGATTGATTCGGACAAGTACTGTCGCCAATTAACCAATCTGAATCGAGAAATGAAAGAGAAACGTCCGATTTTGTCAAATCGCAAGGGAGTCGTCTTTCATCACGACAACGCCAGACCACACGTTTCGAAAAAGACGCTGCGCAAACTGAAGAGCCTGAAATGGGATGTCTTAACGCATCCACCGTATTCTCCTGATATCGCACCATCTGACTATCACTTGTTCCGGTCATTGCAAAATTATTTAAATGGAAAAAACTTTGACTCTTTGGAGGCCTTAAAAAACGGCGTCTCTTCGTTCTTCGAATCTAAACCGCGCAGTTTTTATGATCGAGGCATCCGTATGCTGCCAGAACGTTGGGAAAAGATTATAGAAAACGATGGAGAATATATCATTGATTGAATAAAGATTTTTGTTTGCCTAATCACTGTGTGACTTTTACTCACAAACTCCGCACGAACTTTTGCACTCACCCAATATATATTTGACGAAAAAAATGTAAATATGTATACATAAAGAAAATATTAATACCTTAAACATAAATATAAGGACAATAATTTATTAATAATACTAAATTTTATAATAATATTAAAAGAAATTTATAATAAAATTGTATATTATCGCTGTCCCTAAAATGGTTGTAGCATACTCATAACTTTTTCTCCTCAGGTCCCTCCACTGGCTCCATTTTCAAATTCTTGAACCATTATAGCCTATGTTCAGCATTTCGTGGGAATTTATGCGATGGTGCTGTCTTCGACAACATACTCGTAACATCTTGATCCCGCTGTTATGAGACCTATAAAAAAAAATAAACCTTTATTTAGTTAAACAGATATTTGCATCATCAGTATATAATATTACAGTATCATGCATACTCAAATAAAACAAGTTGTTTGTCGCTAATAGGGAAAAGATTTTGATGGTTCTTCAGTAACTGTTTCTCCTTGTTTTTTCTTACTCCCTTGTTGAAGTCTTCTTGTAGTCCTTCTGCAAGAGAGAGAGAGAGAGAGAGAGAGAGAGAGAGAATACATAAATATATTCATAAATTATATATACAGGTTATAAAAGTCCCGGAAGAGCAAAATAATTCGAAAAATATGAGTCCTAGAAAAAATGCGAAGCACTAGGTTTTTATGATTTTTTCTTGACTATCTGACGGTGACCTTGTATTTGACCTTAACAATGACCTTGAAGGTCATTTCAAGGTCAGGTCAATTTTTTAAATGGGACCCCATACTTTTGACCCCAGAAATGAAAAGAGTGGAAAATTTTACGTTCGGATATGACATTGAACATTGCCAAATTTGACCTCTGAAGGTCACATAAAGGTCTAAGCTTGTTTTAGGCAGAAAACGCGAATATCTTCGAAAATGCACCTGTTAGAGAGCAATGCTACACATAAGAATAAGAATGTAGAGGTCAACGAGGGACATTCAGCCATGACCTTGCCCTTATTCTCAAGGTCATGAGTTCAGATTGTTATTAAGGTCAAACCGGATTTTTTTAGGACTGAAAATCCATACTTTTGACCTAAAAGTGTCAAGAATGAAAAATTTTACGTTCGGATATGACGTTTCCAACCTTGACCTTGTTCTCAAAATTATGCGTTTTACGTTACTTCATCGTTACTTGATCGTGAAGTCTACTGAAAGTAAAGCGTCTCGGAACACGACCACTGAAGTCAAGGTGTCTCAAACCCGACCACTGAAGGCAAGGTGTCTCAAACCCGGCCATTTAAGGCAAGGTGTCTCAAACCCGATCACTGAAGGCAAGGTGTCCCAAACCCGACCACTAAAGGCAAGGTTCAGTTAGTCCCGGCCACCGAAGGCAAAGCATCTTGTAACTCGGCCTGAGATTACAAGAGATGTTCAAAATGTTCCCCATTGACCGTTTGACAGTGTGTTTGACAGATCAAGGTTGAAAACGTCATATCCGAACGTAAAATTTTTCAATCTTGACACTTTTAGGTCAAAAGTACGGATTTTCAGTCCTAAAAAAGTCCGGTTTGACCTTAATAATAATCTTATCTCATGACCTTGAGAATAAGGGCAAGGTCATGGCTGAATGTCCCTCGTTGACCTCTACATTCTTATTCTTATGTGTAGCATTGCTCTCTAACAGGTGCATTTTCGAAGATATTCGCGTTTTCTGCCTAAAACAAGCTTAGACCTTTATGTGACCTTCAGAGGTCAAATTTGGCAATGTTCAATGTCATATCCGAACGTAAAATTTTCTGCTCTTTTCATTTCTGGGGTCAAAAGTATGGGGTCCCATTTAAAAAATTGACCTGACCTTGAAATGACCTTCAAGGTCATTTCAAGGTCATTGTCAAGGTCATTGTCAAGGTTAAATCCAAGGTCACAGTCAGATAGCCAGGAAAAAATCATAAAAACCTAGTACTTCGCTTTTTTTCTAGGACTCATATTTTTCGAGTTATTCTGCTCTTCCGGGACTTTTATAACACCCTGCATGTATGTTAGGTTTCTCAGTTGGCGTTACTATTGGGAACTTGAATAAGTTCTCGCTGTTTCCCGACAGATAGTGTTATCTTAGCCTTTTTGCATCGGGTAATACTACAGCCAACTTCATCGTGAAGCTCCATCATTAGGCTCGAAGTGACAGTATATGTTATTTCGCCGAAGCGTAAACAACATATTTTTTCATAGCGTTAACATGTCGAATTTCGTACCAAAAAAAGAGTATTTGCGGAGAATTTTACTGTATTACTTTAAAAAAAAAATCTGCAGCTGAAGCACACAGAATTCTTGTGAAGTCTTACGGCGACCATATTCTGTCGGAAACAATATGCAGAAATTGGTTTAGACGCTTTAAAAATAATTATTTTTATGTTGAAGATAAAGAACGCTCTGGCGCACCGAAAAAGTTTGAAGACGAAGAATGGAAGCATTACTCGATGAAGACCCATGTCAGACGCAAAATGGACTTGCAGAATCATTAGGAGTTGATCACACAACAGTTGCCAAACGTTTAAAAGCATTAGGAATGATTCAAAAATAAGGAAATTGGGTGCCGTACGAATTGAAACCGAGAGACGTCGAACGGCGTTTTTTCACATGTGACCAGTTACTCCAACGGCAGAAAAAGAAAAATTTTTTGCATCATATCATGACTAACGATGAAAAGTGGATACACTACGATAACCTGAAGCGTAGAAAATCTTGCTGTAAGCCCGGCCATGCATCAACATCGATGACAAAGCCGAATATCCATGGTTCCAAGCTCATGCTCTGTATTTGGTGGGATAAGCTGGGTGTAGTATATTATGAGCTCCTCAAATCCAACGAAACCATTACGGGAGATCGCTACCGACTACAATTGATGCGTTTAAGCCGAGCATTGAAGAAAAAACGACCACAATACGAGGAGAGACACGACAAAGTAATTTTGCAGCATGACAACGCTTGGCCACATGTTGCAAAACCGATCAAAACCTATTTGGAAACGCTCAAATGGAAAGTTCTACCCCACTCGCCGTATTCACCGGACATTACCGGACTTCCGATCTGGCTGAGCAGCACTTACATTCTTATGAAGATGGGTCGTGGATAACCTCAAAAGATGAGTTGTTCTTTCGACATGGTATTTGTATGCTGCCAGAAAGATAGGAGAAAGTAGTAGCTAGAGATGGACAACACTTTCAATGTTCTTTACTTTATTTTACTTTCTTTACTTTCTTTACTTTACTTTTAATTTTTAAAAATAAAGCATTTATTTTCACGAAAAAATAGCGAGAACTTATTCAAGTCCCCAATATAAATATTTAAATATTCCACAAAAATAAGCAGATTTATTGAAACAACACCTGAAACTTTACTGCTGTAAAAGAAATACTGGTGCTGCTTTGCGTTGCGTCATATTGCGTTACATTACGTAGATTTAATGGCGTCAAAAGTTCACGTCACTCAAATTAAACTTTCACAAGTAATCCGCTACCTAGGCATACTCGATTCGTGGGTTTACACGATCGTTACATGAGTATCATACATAATGCATGCACTTTCGTGCACTCTAATCGACAGTTTACCGTTAATCGACTGCCATTGTTTCCGTTGAGGCACCAATGTCTACCTTCTGCGCTATTATTCTGCGATAAATTTGTCTTCTCAGCTACTTTACCGATAACACGAACACTCAAGCGAAATGTTGTATTGTCTTTAATTATTGTTTATCACTTCAAATGTGTTGGAGAAGGTAAAGTGGACGTAATGATCTTCATCACCTCGTGGAGATAGTACGAATTTTCTCATCATATTCATGTTGCCTCACCAACTCTGTGGCTATTAAATATACATAATTGTGTTAAATAACGTGTATTAAATTATATTATATTAACATTAATGATGTACAACATTAAATATTACGTTGAATATTAGTAAATACTTGCCCGACAGAACGCATAACATTACGCTTTATATAAATACAATGCGTATTATTGATAAAAGGAGTGGTTCTTTTTACATACAGAGTGAAGAAAAAACCCCGGGACCACTGAAAATTTCGAAAAATATACACTTTATAAAAAAATGTTTCAGACAAAAGTTGTAGCATTGAAAAAGATCTATTTACCGATCAATAACTAGAGCTATTTTTGCTCTCTTATTAAGTAATCGTAATTGTAATCGCGAACGTTTAACGACATCGGCGCGAGTTTCGGTGCGGTACGTGTGTCCCAAATCATCCACACTTATTTATGTGTTAATTTAACACAAAGCGATTATGTAAAAAAGTAACACGTATAATATGCAAAAAATTAACATTTGAATGTCAGGAATCATAGTTTGTATTAAATTGACATACGTATAATGTTGAATTAACTAAAATAAATGCATTTACATATAAATTGTATTATTTTAACACTTGGAAATAGTTAATTTTAATGTAACAAGGAAAGTCTAAGTAACACTACGATGATATGTTAAATTAACACAGCACTATATAAAAAATTTAACACAAAACTTTCAACACACAAAAAATTTTAACACAAGTTCGAAACGTTTTTTACTGTGTAGGAGAAACTCGTAGTTCTCTATCGTATAAGTACGAAAGGAAATATATCGTTGTCAATCGTGTAATAAATTAAAAGTTGTACGCATTACTAAAGAACTGAATTTATTATTTTTTTCCTTTCTACTAAACGTTTTGAATTTCTTACATATGCTTTCATTTCGTTTGCATAAAGTAGGAGAAAAAATAACAAATTTGACAACGATAGGTTTCCTTTCGTATGCGATAGAGAACTACAAGTTTCACCTATCGTTTATGATTACGACAGATTTTCAGTGATCTATTCCTAATAGAATCCAATAAAACGATAGGACGCGTAAAGTCTCTGTATAAATTCTATCATATTTCGATACGAACGAACGATTGAATACTCTTCTAATAGCGAACGATAGATTACGACAGAAAATAATTAAATTGTCTGCACACTCTATCGGTTTCCATCGCTTTCACTCTTTCCATTCTTTTTTATCATACATTGCTTATAACTGTTTCAATAATTGGAGCTATTTTTGCTCTCTTATTAAGTAATCGTAATTGTAATCGTGAACGTTCGCGTCTTGGCGACATCGTTGCGAGTTTCGGTGCGGTGCGAAGCGGTGCGGCAAGACGTAGGAGGAGAAGCCTCGCAAGCGCGGGCAGTGGTCTATTGTTTCTCCCCTCGCCGCGCGCCGGTGTCTACTTATGGGTAGAGTGGGCCGGCCTGAAACTCGAGCGGCTCGACTCTTACGCATCTCGGCGGACGCTATTGCTGGACGTTTTTAATTAATTTCTTGAAAACCATTACGATTATCGCAAAACGGTATGGGACTTTTATGCTCATCTCAAGCCGTGCTAGGCCTCCACGAATTTTGTATATGTTGCTGCGGAACACCCTGTATATCACCCGCCACAGCTGCAGTAACCAGATGTTTAGCTCTGCAGTAATTGACGGTTCCATCTTCCCATCGTAATCCATGATAATTAGCAGTTAACCAGTAGGCCCTCGATTT